ATATGGCAGTAGTCATATTTACAGTATAGAAGCTGTAACAGTGTTTCAGTACTTTACAAAAACTTGCACATACTATTACTACTACAGAACGTCATCTTTCGCGCACTCGGCAAAGTCACTGTTCTTTCTCTCCTTGCTATGTTTGCTAAAAACTAATTTAAAATGCTCATTCACCGATACTCTCTGATAAACTGTTGCACTGTTGACCGTCAGAAAGTACAAGTAATGTATGGAAACATGCCTTTTTCAATCACAACTTTCCAAGAGGTGCCTTTTCTTGCACCAATTTTTGCACTTAACACTCAGTTCATAAGGAAAATAAAGCTGGACTTCTAGGATTTAATGTAACACATCAGACGTACATTTTGTATGAGGGGTCATCTGATGCTCTGGGATTTTGTCCCAACTGTCCCATTCCAAGTTACATCTTTGATGGGGCTTAACCACATCGCCAGAAATTAGTATTTTATGGTAAATAGCAGCTCAAAGTTTTTATGTTGGGTTGCCACTTTCAGCTGCAGGTGCCACAGCTTGTGCTGTGGAGCACTGGTCACTTCAGCCATTTGGTCCCCAGCAGAAGACTGGGCTGTTTGTAGCTGCCATCTCTGGTGCCAGACAGGCAGAGCAGCCCAAACTCAAGTGCCAGCAGGAACCAGCAGCTGCTGGCCGGCAGGCAACCTGTTCAAAGTTGTTTGTTTTAATGGGGCTGTTGGTGCTAAGTCCAGCTGACCACATCAAGTTGAGTAAGAGGAACTGCTAATGTAGTTCCAGGGTCCTGGAGGGTAAAAACACAGACTAGTGGCATCAGTGTACACTATTAGACATTAGCAAACATGAGCATCTGAGCCATGCTTGACTTGGAATAAATATGTGTCAGTACTTTAAACCAGCAGTTTGAATAGCATTCCCATTCAGCTTTTTGGTAAATGACCCTCTAGGGGACTGTAATTTATGAATCTTTTGTATGACCTTTTGTATATATTAGGAAGGAGTATGAAAAATGTTAGAGTTCACTTTAAATGTTGTTTGTTTTTAGACAACTCATTTATCATTACTGACACTAAGTGTACCATTGTAAATGTGCTGTGGTTAGCTCAGCAGCCTAAAGAAGTAGCAAAGTGACTTCTGGCGCTTGCGTTTTGCTTTTAATTCCTGTATTTGACAAAACAAAACCATTAAAGTGACTTAGCTGGTGCAGCCTTCCCCCGGACTGACCGCGTCAATTGTCGTCATGTCAGTACTGACTTTCAAGGTGAAACTAACATCTGAGCGCTTATCCAGCAGCACTCAGAACAGTAGAGACATATTGTACCTCAGACACGCAGAGAACAGCAACTATGTACCTGAGGTTGGGTGAAAGCAAACAAGTACTACATCATGACATTTTTAACGTGATGCATTTAGTGTTATAAACAAATAGACATTTAAAAAGCTGAATAATTAAATAAAATCTATATGTAGAGTTTCCATTTTTTAAATCACTTTTTGGGGGGAAGAGTCATTCTAGTGTCTCACTTTGCACAGTTCAATTTTAGTCCCCACCTAAATTTCTGGATCTAAAATTAAAGGACTGAAAGTGGGAAATTTAAATATTTGGCTGTGCCAATTATGCAGGGTGGGTTTTTTTAGTTTTTAGTTTTTTTTTTCCCAGAACAAGCTTTTTTTCTTTGTTTATCTTTATGTCCATTATTTGCATCTCTGTATTTTATGGCTTTTTAGCCCATCAAGCAGCAGCAGGAGGTCTGATTGGCCTGCTGCTTTTTGGCAGGAGTCTGGTCCTGTCAGCACACTGGTGAATTATTATTCAAACTGCTCTAAAATGCTATGAAGGGGTTGTTCTCAGTCCCTCTGTTTTAATTTATGCACATACCTTTTTCAATTTGAAATGTCCTTCTGTCTTTTGCAGGCGAGTAAAGTAAAACCAGAGTAAAACACAATTACTGGACAATTCAGCAAAGCCAGGACTTATTTTGAAATACATAGTTTAACACTTAAAATATGAAACCAGCAAGAATAAGAATAATCATTATCATGTTTTCTTTTGCATGAATTTTTTTGTTCTTTATTATTAAAAAATATTACCTCTGTATTGTGTATGCTATGATCTTTTTTTTCTTTTTCTTTTTTGGAAGTAATCCAAGTGCTGTGGTTAGTTGAGCTCAAAGAAGTAGTAAACTGACTTCTGGTGCTTTTACTTTCCTTTTAATTCCTGTATTGGTAAATAAAATGCCCTTACAGTGAGTTAGCTGGTGCATCCTCTGATGACTCTTATTTTAATTACTCCTATTGTCGTCATATCAGTGCTGACTTTCAAGGTGAAAACAAGAGTCTGAGCACTTATCCAGCAGCACTCAGAGCAGAATAGTTCATCATTTTTACTAAAAAATAATCTTTGTTTAGTTTATATTCATATGTTATGCTCTCTTTTTTTGGAATAACTTAAGTCCTTCACCAGATTTGCAGAGTTGGGAGGTATACACTTAACCTAATGCAAAGTGCTGCTGCTGTATAAACAAAAGCAAAACAATTGTTTGGCTACGTTATAGTCACTGTAAGTAGATACTGTATCATATAAGCAGACATTAAGAAGAAAGGAAGCATTTCTCTGATTAATTTCTCCATTACATCACCAGCAGACAAGAGCAGATAGATTTATTCTATAGTTTTTTTTATATATATATATGTATGTCCTTCATCAACCCTATGGCGAATAGGGCTGTTTCCGATTACCACGTCAGTTAGGATGAAAATTTCCCTCAGAAGTCTAAATCAAGCTTCAGACTGACTTCAGAGGGTCAGAGTGTTTGGAACAGTTTTGCATAACAAACTGTGTAAAATATACATATAAATGCATATTTAGTTGTGAGGAGGGAGAAATAAAACACTTTAACAGCCTGGCCAGAAATCACACAGCATTCCTGTTCTACATGTTCCCTTTTTTTAAATCAGTCTGTACGTGCCGTTTAGCGATTGTAATGGCACTGAGTGTAACGCTTTCTATGTTTTAATCGTGTTTTGAGACACTTTATTCTAGTCACCGTCTTCACCAGTTACTCATGTGCCAGCCCGTTGTCACACTTTTATTCAAATAATTGCGGTGATGGGCTGCAGCTTTGAAGTCCGTGTTGCTGGTTGGAAACTGATGACTTCCACTCAACACATTTCCATTCCACTTTCATGTTGTCAAGTTGAATTTTTAGTGGGGCAGCTACCATTTTTATTGCAAATGGTAGCTGCCTTGGGGGGTGGGGTAGATTCAGGCAAGGCAGCGGATAAAATGCCTGACATCACGAGGGCTTAATTGATGCCATTAACATATGAACAGAGGCAAAACAAAGAATTCACTCAGGCTTTGGGTGACATTTCCACATTCATAGCATGGCTTGTGTTTAGCTGCAGCTTGATTTATGCTGTCAGTCTGTCATAATCGCTAAGCCATTACAGGTATTAGGGCTGCGTGCTCTCACAAAGCAGCATGTCGCTTTGTGTTTCCCCTGGGAATCTGCTTTTATTATCTGATAAATAGAGAGATGTTGGAACAAGATACTTATCTACGGAGTGTTTTGAGTCCTTTAATGCGATGTCAAAGATTTTTAACACATGCATCTGTTCATATTGACAAATTGTACAAAGGATGTAGATAAGTCCAAGTGAAAAGTGTCCTTTATAAGCTGGAAAAATCTCTTTGTGAATTTAAGAATCAACCAGTACAATAGCAATGCACATAAAATTGCATAAAACTGAAAAAGATCACTAGTCATCTCCTCTGATGAAGTCACGCTGCTCTGTTGCCCCCCTGTGGAGGCTTGTACAACATACACATAAAAAGAAAAATATTTAAGCATTTCACATTCAGACAATTGGTTCTAATTTATATAAGTCATTACCTCTTTTGATTAATTACCTCAAATCTTTATTCTATCGCCAGATATGAAGCGTCCAAAAACCAGTGACTGGATGGAAAGCAGCCCTCCTCCGAAGAGCCAGGAGGGACAGGAGGAGGAAGAAGACGAAGAAGACGAAGAAGAGAGGAGGATGGGGGCTGGGCTCAAGGCCAAACGGGAGCGGCGACAGGGCAGCGGCAGTGCCACTGTGTGTCAGGTGTGCAACATACAGCTGAACTCCAGTGCCCAGGCACAGATCCACTACAGAGGGAAGACTCATCAGAGAAGACTCCGCCGACTGGCAAAAGCTGTCAGTGCAGGTAGGAAAGACTCAAGACTCGAAGAAAACACTGACATGTCCTTTTTGAGGCCATTACAGAATATCTAAATTTCACATTTGAAAATCAAATATCTACCCAGCTCGGTATTTGAATAGTAAATTGTAAGGGCCCAGCCTTTTCAGTTTAAAAGTTAGCTCAGACTTTTATACATCAGCATTTCAGTGTTTAGCTTCAAAAATGGGCTCATGCAGCTCACACAGGTTGTCTCCACAGCAATAGACCACAACAGAGATTCTAACTTTGTCATAGCAGGAAAGCCACAGGTTCGGCTAATGAAATGAATGATGACTTTATTACATTTAATGGTCCCAGCAAGCCATGCCAGTGGGACATCATGCAGAAAACCACAGCCCTGGAACTGGAGCACCTAAATAGGACAGAGCCATCAACAGTTTCAGTTACACTTGAGGTTGTTTTTTTGTTTTTTTTCAATGACAGGTTGAAATGTGCTTTATTTCTTTCTTTCTTTTTTTTAAAAAAGGGTAATTTCACAATTGTGAGAAAGTGACTGAAAATTTTGATTAAAGAGGATAATAATGGATTGCATTTATATAGCGCTTTTCGAGAACCTCAAAGCGCTGTACAATTCCACTATTCATTCACTCTCACATTCACACACTGGTGGAGGCAAGCTGCAGTTGTAGCCACAGCTGCCCTGGGGCAGACTGACAGAAGCAAGGCTGCCACATCGCACCATCGGCCCCTCTGGCCAACACCAGTAGGCGGTAGGTGAAGTGTCTTGCCAAGGACAGAACGACCGAGTCAGAGTTGGGGCTCGAACCGGCAACCTTCCGATTGCAGGACAAACTGCCAACTCTTGAGCCACGCTCGCCCTTAGCGCCCTTAGGATTAGCATGTAGACGCTGCAAAACTATGAAAAACTGAGTGAAAATCTCATATCTTCCACCTGCACGACAAACTCTTTTAAATTTATTACACTTTGATCCCAACTGTTAAACAAAAACAGTAAAGAAAATCATTTTTTAATCAATTTTTACTGCAAGGCTGTTGTATTTCCAGTGATTATTTTCTTTCAATCAGATCTCCCAGTGTAGTGCGTCTGGCTAACAGAAAAGAAGACACGGCTTAGTTTCTGAGTCTTATGCATTGTTTTTCTTTGACAAGTATCTGCTAACACGATACTGTCATAATAAGTTTGATATAGTTTTCTTTCTTTTGCAGTTCATTGCTAATTATGAGGTTTCGAGCTACTCTGATGTTCAGCATCTTTTCCATAAAAGTTGCTCTGTTTGGTGCTTTGTGGTTAATGTTCACATCTGCAAACCATGAGGTGCTTTGCGTTGAGAAATATATTTATTATTCCAGTGGCGGTCCCCACCATTTCCAAGTATTTTCTCCACACCTGTTTTGATGAAGGGCCATTAATCACCTTCACTCACCAACACCTGTGACACTCTGCTGCGCTGACCAGCTTGATCAATCAGTACTCGGCCTCTAATGAACAACTGGCCAATAAAATGACGCTTTTATATGTTGATTTATGAGACTCGTTCTGGCTGGTGGCATGTCACACACATTTAACTGTACCAATCTAATACAGAATATTAAATTTAAAAAAATTATATCCATTGTTCCATCAGAACGGTATTGACTTTTTCTATATCAGATAATAGCCTCTGCAGGTCATCATTCATACTTAAGAGTGTGTGACTGATCCAGTGCAAAAGGTGATTATGAAACATTTCTTGGCCTCTTCTATTTTCTGTAGTTTCTTTTTCTTTACTTTCCAGTGTCCAGAAACAAACTTTTATTTCCTGATTCACTCAGGAATCAGTTAAACCTCCAACTTGGTTGCCTAACTGTCTCTGACGTGACTTGTATGATAAGGACTTGGGACAAGTGCCTTTCCTCAGTGTTTGTCTTCTGCTCCCAGAGTTGACCAACACTGTGTAATATTAGCTTAAAAACTGAGTGCACTAATCATTATTGTCAACAAATGACTGGTTCAGAACACACAGGCTGCACATAAGGACAATAAACAATGAAATGTTGTGACTTTAGGTATATCTTTTTCAGGGACAACTGCAGCAAGAACATAAACTAAGGTTAGCCAGCTTGCTGCTAAGCTAGGTATCAAGCATCTTATCTAGCAATTTTCATTACTAGCAAAGTCAGTTTTATTAAAGGCCCCAGTCTCACAGGCCTAGAGACTGGTTAGTGATCATCCGTAAAAGTGTTTATTCCAGGACTGGCCTGCAAATCATTTTTGGAAGTTGCTGGGTGATATTGGTCACAAAAAGGTGCTAAGCTAAAAACCTTGCAGTTGTTTGCTATGTTTTCTGATGGAAAAAACACTTGCAAACAACTCACAAGGTGGCAGTGAAAGTGTGAAGAGTACGATGCAAACCAGCAACAGAGACTGCCAACTTTCAAAGTAAAAGTTGCAACTTTGAAAAAGTTGGGCATGTTGGTTACAATGGGAAGGCACAACTTTTACTGTGAAGACAAATATTTCCCATTTCCAGTTTATGTGACACTTTTTCCAGACAACCAGAGGTTGCCAGGATATCGCCAGTCATAGTATGCATTTGTGACCGAGGCCTAAAAAAGCCCAACTGGCCAAGCAGCTATCAGGGGGAAATGGACTTAATGTCAGCAGGGCGTTCAGTTCATTAAATTATCGTTGTCTTTTTTTTTTTGGATTCAGATCTGATTCTGAGCTCTCTTTCTTCTGACTAATGTTGCCTAATGTTCACCCTCCTGCTAACACTGAAGAACTGCAACTCAATTCATTCATTCAACATCATCTTACTTGCTACGGTTTAACTACACAACGTGTATCTGGTGAAGTGGTTGCTTTGTTGGATTATCAAACAGGGATGTCTGTCTGGCCAAAACTTATGAAGGATTCAAATTTGGCCCAGTGGATAGTTTTGCACAGTGTAGAATTTTTGGGATTTGCAGATTAAAGATACATTTAACTTTGATATTGTTTACTATGACAGATGATGAATGCTGAGTCATTATTGGTAAATGTTTTGTGCTTTTCCTGTAAAGATAAATAAACTATTTTAAAACGAGAACAAGAGGCTTGTTTGCAGTGCACTATTAGATGTGGTTTGTCGTTTTGTCACAACCATCTCATCCACTAATTGATGGATAAGATGAGAGTCACTCATCAGTCCCTCCGGGTAGAGGCCCTCTCGATTTTTCACAAGGGGCACAGGCTGATTTCACACCTGCCATGTTTGAACGACTTAAATGAACCCCACAGCATCTGACCTCATTTTGTTTGAGCTGTTGTGAATTGAGCAGTAAACAGCAAACAGTTTCTCAACCTAAAATTATTTATGAAACTGTTTATTTAGGACAAATCTGCAGGATCTTTTAATGTTTTAAGTTGAACTTAAACCATTAAAAGATCCTGCAGATTAAAATATATAGCAATTAATGTCTTCCATTGCCAATTTTCCCTCAGATAATTGATATTGTATGGTCAATAAAATGTCTGAAAACAATTAAAAAATGCAATCTGTATTCAAAAGGCAACGTCTCTAACTGCTTTGCAATGTCCAGTGAACCAAGTTATATTTAATGTATCCTCAGAAGACAAGGAAAAGCAAAAATGTTTGTATTTAAAATGCTACAAGCAAAATATATGAACAATAACGAACACAAAAATCCATCATAAGAATAGTTGATATTCTGTGGATGAAACAACTGATCATTGGAGTTTTACTACAAAATAAATGTGGCACATGCACATACCTTAAAAATAATAGCAAAAAAGAATAGTGAAAAATTAGTGAACCAATAAAAATTCAACCCCATAAAGGGATTTGTATGATCTCTCTCACACACCTGTGTCAGGAAGCCATTCTCTCTGTTGCCTTTCCTGCAGAAAAGAGGAGAAAAAGAGGACGGTCTGAGTCAATTAAGGTGACTGTTGCTATAATTCGGTCTGCACTGCAATGAAACCAACCTAATAATACCCGTTCCCTTCCCGCAGCTGAACTGTCTTTGCCTTTATTTAGCTTCATGAAGCGATTTGCTCAAATGAAAAGAGATTTTAATCGGGTGTTTCTCACTGGGGGCCGTTTGAAAAGGGAACAGAGCAAAGCACTTTCCACTTGCTACACTGAACTACAGGACAACAGTGGACTCGTTTCAATTCAAGGTTATCGTTTTAGGATTTCCGATATAACGTGTGTGCTGGTGAGATATAAGTCCCTTCAGACAAGCTCATTATGTTAATCTGACAGCAATTTACATGTCGGCCTCAAGCAAAAATATGCACAATGGTCAGTTCGAGGCGTTGTGACAGTCTTACCAGGTCAGGTTAAATGTGAAGGAAGAGAAAACTGTGGGCATCTTGTGCTATTAGTTATTACTTCTTATGCATCATATCTGTTAAATACGCCAACAAAACTGAGGAAAGGCGCTGCAGAGCATTGATCTTGTTATATCAGATCTGTCTGTCCCCCCACCACGATGTTGCCATAAAGGACCAAGGACGTTCGGTTTCTGTTTGCATATTTTCAAGCCAGCTGTGGGGAGCAATGGTTCCCCAAAACACTTTAAATGCAGCATGTGAATCCTGACTTTACAGGGATTGTGCACTGTTGGATATTTAAAGAAAAAAAACCATGCAGCATAGACAGAACATCCTGAAATTGAATAGAAAATTGATTTGTACATTTAAGATGTGGAAGGAAGCATTTCTGCTACAAAGGTTTGTCTGTGTTTAGAGGTAAATGGTACAAAACAGCGTTTATACTGCTCTTTAAAATTTCGACATGAATTATTCTGCTTTATTGCTTTCACACACAGCTCACAGAGTTTGGTGCTTGATCACTTTGGTTGTTCAAAAAGTTTCTCTCATTTTCTCCCCACTGTCATTTTTTGTCATTTTATCTTTGTTGAGAAAAACATGAATAAAAGAATTCAAACTATGTTCAGTTTATCTGCCTCATGTTTAAAGTTGCAGGTGGAGGCAGGAATGGTCAGGTACAGACCAAAACAACCACACTGAGACCCTTTGACTTTGTTTGTGATGACAACTTGATTTAACCCTGATCTGAATCAACTATGTGGTGTTTCTGGAATATTGTAGCGTACCAAACTATAGCCACTAGCAGCTGTTAGGAGTAAACGCTCCATCTTATCCACTAGACTGGAGCACAGCACCTTCTTCTTGTATTTACTTTTGTTGTCCCACCTCTGAGACATGATTTACAATGATGCATTTTGGTTCTGCTGTTTGGAGTTTTCTCTGTTAAAAGAAACCAAACCACAGGAAGAAGCTACAAGTTTACAATATCAACAACTGATTTGGGCTGGATTAAATGAACTCTAGTCCTGAAAACAAACCCAAAAGACATCCTAAGTCAGAAATCTAAAAGAAAAACACATAAAAAATGTATGTGCACTGGCTCATATATTACCTGTATATAAATGTCACTTCTGTGTGTAAGCTAAATTGCACCTTTTGCTAAAAAGTTACTGTTTCAAACTGTACATGGATTTCTAGTCTAATTTATTAAAAATCTTTTCAAGTATATGTGTTTAAAGCAAAGACAAATGATTTTCAGAGTTTTTCAGAGACGTGACCTCCAACATTTCCTGCACCGTTTATAACAATTTAGCCAGTGAAAGGAAAGATGAAGCTTTTTGTCTTCCATGAGCAAAATTTCCCCTCACTAATGGAAAATCTCTAATTTTCTCAGACGGGGCTCCACTGGGGATTGACTTGGCTTAATGCTCTTCTGAAGGTTGAATTATTCCTGTTATTGTATACCAACATATGTTAGAGACACCGTCACAATAAATACAGGGAGTATCGTCTACATTTACTACACACAGTCTGCTGAAACAAGCTTTATCACCTGCAGTTTTTCACGGTTTGACCTCATTTCTTACAAAAGAGGCTGCTGAGCAAATGCAGCCATTTTTTTCAGATGTCACTTGATCTGTCATAAGCTACTATTCGCCACGCCGTGAAAGCCTGGACAGGCAGCAGGGGAGGGGGGCATTTTGGCTTGGTTTTTGACTCGGTGTCTGGCAGATGAAGCATCACAACCCTCAGGGACTGATAGTGTTAGAGGAGACACCTGTTTTACAGTATTCCCAATAGCTTTGAGGTTCCAAACCCGAATAAAACAAGTGAGTAGTTTCCTGTTTGATATTCTAGATGGTAGTAGATTGGTGTGTTTGCGAATGCATGAGTCATTTTTCTGCATGTGTTGAATAGTCAGTGAATATATCTGAATAAATGAAATTCAATATAAGGCATGCTGAATTTGTGTTATTTGAACAACTGTCACTATTTCAGATAGCTTGGATTGATAAATAAATATAAGCTAGTAATTAAATGGTATTATAGAAATTACAACCTGTGTATGTGGTGAGCTTTGATGTTTTGTAAACCTTTTGTTTCTCTCTCCTGCTTCCCCCCAAACCCTTTCCAAGTCTATGATTTCCATAAGTAACATGGCATGTCAGTCACACACACTGAGACCATAAATAGAGGCATGCACAGCCAATGTTCAGTAGGTCCATGGCGAGCTGAAAGCATAATGCGCGTAGCCGACATACGATCATTGTGCTCGAGGCCCTCTCCCTGCACTTTCATTTGAATGCTGCAGCCTGAAATCAAGTGTAAAACTGTCAGGATTTGTCAGTGTTGTGCTTCCACGCCGCACTTATTTGAGTGGACAAGGAGCCAGCAAGGAGCACACGGGGCAGACACAAGCTCTGTGTGTGTGGTTGTAATACTCATGTTGTGGGGACATAGATCTGTTCACACACTCACATTGTGATGACCCAGAGACAAAAAGCAGGACATCGTAATGTTTTCATTAACCTGAAGACTGAAGATTTGATTCAAGGCAAGATATAGTTTTGGGTAGACAGGTAGTGGTTATGGTCAGGTTTAGAGTAAGTCTATAGGACATGAATGCAAGCCACTGAGGTGATGGAAGTGTGTGTGTGTGTGTGTGTGTGTGTGTGTTAACACTTGTGTAACACTGGAGGCCACAGTTTCAGGCTAGAGACTGTGAGAATAATCGTGTTTATCTGAAGTGATTGTGGTGACTGCTGAATGAATAACAATGCAGTGTGTACAAGCCATTGTGTTGCTTCTGCAAACATTCAGTGGAGTCAGATTTTCACTGAAACGACGCCCCTCTGTCCAACTTAAATCACTCAGTGGCCAAACTTAAGGCTAATGCATACTCTCTAAAGAGGGATTAATATTTAAAATCACAGTAAAACATCCCAGCAACATGGATAGTTCTTACTGCCTATTGAAAGCTGTTATAGGTACCTAGAGTGGGATGGAATTTGCAGTGCCATATTCAAAGGTGCTGTTACAAGTATTATTTCATTTATTGCTGCAGAGGTACTATATAGGTTCGTGTAGTAAAAGTTGCAATATTATTAAGAGATGTAATGAAAGAAAAGGTACTTGAGGACAAGTTCAAGTAGAGACAGGACGTATTATGCAGACATAAACAGACTTTAGAAGTGTGAAATAGAATAGGAGATAAAAATAAGCTCAGCTAGACGAAAGGCAGATTTAACCGAAGAACGAAAACTACTATTCACCAGTGTCGACAGTGGTAACGCCAAGATTGGGCTGTGGCTGATACAGCGCAACTCAAAAGAACCATTTGAGGTAAATATCGCATAGAAAGCATATAAAGTGCTTCATTCAAGCTATAAGAATCGCAGCGGAGCATGACAGAGCAGCACTGGATTCAGCTCTGCTCTACAGTGTGTCAATAGAGTAATCATCAGAAGATTAGGCAGGAAAATTAGCCAGCTATTCGTTGAGCAATAATCTATCCCACCTGCTCATTAAAATAAACACTGAATCTCAAATAGTTTAAATCAGCGCTGAGTGGGGAAAGAGCTGCACCATCAATATGCTAAGTGAGCATCTCGACTTCTCAAGCAGAGTTTTAAGTCGTTTTGGAAAACTGGGGTGTTTTTTGTAATGGATCAAAATATGCAAATGAATTATACCTTTGCATAATTATATTGAAATACAGTACATTTGCATGGCTACAATTTATTATCCCTCATATCGTCATTTACCCCGTCTCAATTTTCTGAAGAAATTTGCATTAACTCATGCTTAATTTTTTTCTGTCTTTCAAATTAATAACTTTATTTGTAAAGCAGTTAAACATGGCTTTGCTCAGTTCGCCAGGGTGTTCGCTGCAATAGTATTTGTTATGGTAAGTCAAACGAAGTAGCATGTGGTGGCTAATGTTAGCAAATGTTGATGTGTCGATTTTAGATGAGATTCGATTTTTAGATTTGGCTGCGGAGCTGTTTGTGTAGTGTTGTGAAGCAGCGTCCTGTCACACACACAAGTGCAGGGATGTCAACTCATACAGCCTACCTTTATCTTAAGTGTGACCAACCAATAAAACTCCCCTTTCTGTCAGTGTAAAAAAAATAACTTTACATTTACTCCATGAGATATTTTAATGTAAGAAAAGAAGTGTCATTTCAGCAGGACGTCACAGTTTTTGTACATTATAAAAACAAAATGCTGTTGTAGTAAATTAAAGAAACCCGTCAGCATGACTCTTTGGGCTCAAGTTGTAAGAAATAAATGTGTAAAATTACAGAAAAAGCTCTGGCTTGTGGTTATTATAAAACCGAACATTTTTGTTAATTCACAGAAACCTCCCTTTTTTCTTTTGCTCTGAAATTAATGTAAAAATTTGTAAATACTGTAAACTCTAATAAATTTCGATCTATTCAACAGTGAAAATAAAACAACAGCAACTTTTCTGTCATCACTTAATTACATTGGTTTAGTATGAGTGGCTATGGGGGAGGTCTGTATCATTAGGAAAAGCTGCAAACTTGTTCAAATGCAGTTGAAAGTCCAAAGTATATGCTGTCCTTCATATTTTTCAAAGGAGTCCAACGGCCCAGATTGGTGTTTTTGCTGGGTCAATTTTGGTCCTCAGGCCTTATGTTTGACAACCCTGCTCTAGCGCAACGTTATAGTATCAGATGCAGTAGATACATGTGTAAAAGCTGATTAAGAACACTTAAAAAAAAAAAAGTAGAAAATTGTAACACAAGGTGGTTTGAATGCTTCTGAAGCATGTTTGAGCTGAGCTCGGCTGTTTAATTATGATTGTGATCATATCAGTCATGCCTTAGTAGCGGTGAAAAAATAATGAGTTTGTGCTGCGTGAGTGACTCTGTGTTTAATTGAATCCTATCCACGTACAACCTCTTGGAAATGTAAAGCTAGAGTGAAGGACTAATTTACTCTGATAAACCGGACTGCACTCTGCACATAAACACTGTATCATCTGGATATGGATGCACATTTTTAAAATATTTTACCCACAATGGTAACTTACGAACAACATAGCAGGGCTGCATTTTAAGCAGACTGAAAAGGACCAATGATAAATGACGCCTATTGTTGTCAAGTAATGCCAGGAAGGAAACTGCCTTTGAGTGCCCTTAAGGGAGCATGCAGGTGTGAACCTTGAATAGAAAACGCTGCTGAGAAGAAGAAGAAGAAGAAGCAAGGAAAGGGGGGAGATGTGGGAAGTTCATGTTGTTAACAGCCAGTCCTCTCCCAGCTCCCCCATCTCTCTCTCTCTCCCCTCTTTCGCTCTCCCTTACATACTCATACTGGTAAAAGAATACACACTTGCTCTTCAGACACTCTCAGCCTCCTTTCTTTCTCCTCCGCTCCTCAATCTGCCTCGCTTCTGTCTCTCCTTTCGTCTCATAAAGGGCAGCGCGATCAGCAGAGCATGACACTTTTAATTGAAGCACACATGTGCCGTGCTTTCGCTGCGGCACTTTGGATCATAGCCAAGACGTGTCACTGACTGCGAAAGGATCGTCACAATCAAAGTGGAGAGAAGAAAGATACAGTAAAGAGACGGAGAAAATTATCTGCGACTTTGTTGGGGGTTTTTTTGGACAACTTCTGTGATGGGAGATCAGCCAGCAGGAGAAGCCTGAATCAAGAGCAGAAGAAAGTGGCAAACAGAAGAAGCTTAAAACACGTGGAGATGCTGTTAGGTAAGGCTGTTACTTTTAAGATTTGTGCCAATACTGCTAATTTGTGGGAAAGTAACTGAGGACTTATCTTTTTTCTTTTTTCTTTTTTTTTAATGTGATGTTTTTTGTGCCTCCATTTGCCTAAATGCATGCGAGCGCTCTGCTGTCAATGTGTGTTTTACAACAATGACTTCACATCACAGCTCAAGGGCAGGCTCGGTCTCCTGCCTACCATCTGCCCTCATTCAGTTCCTCTGCATCCAAAATGAGTCCCCGGCCTGTTTGTTTTCATAATTGACCCCTTTTGATGGAGCCAAGTGTGGAGTTCAGACCAATACAAACCTGCCGTTCCCAGATGTGTCAAGTCATTTTAAAGCCACACAAGAACATTGCTGATATCACGGTGCAGATTGCTGGCAATTATGTCTCTGCGTCCCCAGGGAAATATGCCCAGATTAGCTTGCATAATTGGAGCCTGTTAAAGATAAAGGCAGTGTGGGGATTTTTAGTCATTTGTGTTTGGGGTTTTTGTTTTTTGTTTAGATAAGGCATCAAATTTATTGCATTTAAAGTATTTGAATTCAGGATCTGTTTGGTGCGATGTTAAAGTCCATCTGATTTACCATCTGATTTTTAAGTAGGCAGAGGAACTTACCTTCTCACGTTTTACTTGACCTGTAAATAAATGTGTTTATTTTTTTAATCTACCTTAGAGTTTATTATTTCAGTTAAAACCAAATTGATTTGCAAGTCTGTCTGCGACACGAGGCTCACTCATTCGTGGGTTTCCCCGCAGCACAGAATGCCAACACAGTCCTTCACAAACTGTTTATTTTAACGCACACACTTGCAACACATTCACAGAGCTGCCGCTTTACAAGCCCAGCTCTGCACAAGCTTTCTTAGCAGTCCCCTTTCTCCATGCCGAATTCTACCTTTGCCGTGTTGTGCACTCCTGTTACTGTCCCCCCACACCCCAGCATTCTGCTAAAATAAAGAGAGAGGATGTGATTAACCCATGCACAACAGGTGCACCATTCACCCCAATTGACAATGCCTTCTGAGCCATCAGCTCCACCTCTTCCATCTGTACCCCTTACTACTTTTCTCTTGGTTATTTCTGGGCAGTTTGAGGTAGTTTACACTATTTTCTCACAAGTAACATAACTCATTTCCTGCTTTTTGTGTTTATAATAGCTTTCTTATCAGGATGAGACATAATTCTTTAGCCAATAGAATTACCAGGAAGGCTACGTTTAAAATTATGTGTATCCACGTATTTTGGAATTTCTGCAGCTTATGGATACACACAACTCTGTGGATGAAAATGCAGAGCATGTCTATGTGGCTGCTTTAGGCTCTTTCGCCTTTAAACAGCAGATTAAGGAGATCAAAGGGAAACAGCTGAAGAGACGATAACTATGAGAGTTTTGCCTGGTGGCCATACTGCATCTGTTCTTGCCTCTTCACCACTTGTCAAAAGCTCAGATTTGAGCTTGCAGTGACATCCTGTATGTGTAAATCTGATCTCTGTGCACCATTACATCAGTCTGATACAAAATCCTAGAATAAAATTTTTGAATTTTTCTCAGCTTTCAATTTTATGATTATTACTTTTCTCTGAGAGTAGTAGAATATATATAGAATATAAAATAATCATTTTATCATTGCAATAAGAACTTGTGTAATAAATATACAAATGCAATGAGTAAAAATTTTAACTTTTTACCTTTTAAATAAAGAGGATTCTACTGATACATCCAGCAAGCTTCACCCTGACCATCGTTATGATTTTAGAGGATCCAACATCCGACTGATACAACCTCATGTTTAAAACCTTCATGGAAAAAATAACATAGTGTGAGCTCAATAGCTAATATGTACAATTCAATATTTGGTTATTTAGTGCGCATCATATCATAAATGCTAAACTGAACAATATTTTCACACATTAAGATTTTATTGATATCCCTTAGGCAGGATTGACATACTCTATATGGACAGACGTACTGGGCCGCTTACAGATTACAACTGCAGGAACTGTTAAGTCCAGGCGCACAATTTTTGTGCTGATGTAAATACCAGAGTGGGTTTCCTGTGGTTTCTAAACAATAGTTTAGTCATAATACCACTTAGAGTTGATTGTGGAATATCTAAGAGGGAAGAAATGTCATGATCTCACTTGTTGCAGCTGTGGCATCTATTACAGTACCGCACTCAACTTCGGTGAGATCTTTACAGAAGTGTTTACAAAGGCAGATTTCATGGCTAGCTTCTTTATTTTATACAACTGTGGTAATGTGGCTGAAAACACCTGAATTAAATGGGTAAGTTATGACCTATATCGTCTACTTATGGTATCACCCTGAAACAATCCAGTGCAATAGCACTGGTCCTTGTGTCATACCATATAATGCAGTTGTTCACATACTTCTTATAGTAGAAAACATAAGACAATCAACTAATGAGCTACTACCTGAGTAGCTCATTAGTTGATTGTCTTATGTCATGATTGTCTCATGACCTGCATGCAATAAAAAGGCTGATAAATCTTTGGTAGAATTAGGGGTGCACATTGCACATACCAGTTTATATTATTGCACTGCCAGAAAGTAGTCCTGTGACAGTGAAACTATTGTATTATTAGGTTTGTCCCCTACATAAAGTGTTGGAACACAATAATCAAAGTGAGAAAAGAGTCCCTGTGGTGTTTAGTCTGCACCTGAGAGCAATGACTGTTTTGCTGCATGTGCTGAAAAGTTTCTTGAGCATCTTCCCATTAGACTCACCTCCACCAGCTCCCAAAACAGAACTTGGGATCCTAATCAGTTTAAGTCTGGGGTTTGCTGCCTTTACCCTGCTGATGCAACTATAAAAAGACCACGCTCACAACCCCACTGTGTCACATGCTGTTGAAGGACCTTTATCAGTAAATGGAGTCGATTCTGCTTCTTTTTGAATCAGTGTCTGTCTCCAAGTACGTCTCCTCCCAGCTTAACTTTATACAGCCAACAATTGCTGTGTCTTCACAGAATTACTGCAAATATAACAACTGTGATCATTCCTTGATGCTCGACACACACACAGTGAAAAGGAAGGGCGTTAAAGCAGGCCCCTGCGGTGCTGCTCACTGTGCTGTCAGAAGGGCACCTCTGCAGCCGGACGTACTGTGCTCTACCCTCAAGGAAATTTGGAATCAAGGCTAAAAGTATAGCACCCACCTTCATGTCTGAGCTTTATAAGAAGTCAGATGGTATTTGAAGTATTGTAGAAGTTGCAGAATTTGACACTCGCAGTATTGCCTGCCACACGTTTTTGTTTTTAATGTACTCTTAATTTGATCTGTTATTGTATATTTTACACATGTTGGTATGGGATATTGTATTTGTTTTAAATGTTATATACTTATGTGGCATGTGTATTTTGACTTTTGTCGCCATGATGCCAGGTCTTTCTTGGAAATTAGGTTTTTAATCTCAATGAGAATTTTTTACCTGGATAAATAAAGGACTAATAAATTCAGATGGTGAATGATGCTCAGCCATAGCCTTGTAGTCATAGAGGGTGGAGAGATTCTTTAATTCTTTAAGCCCGGTTAGTTCTGATATTTTATTATCTCAATTAAAATGGTTAAATATGTTTATTAATAAAGTTTTTTTTATGTGTAGAGTAGTTTGGCTACAAGCTACCATGATGCAAATTGGACTGCTCTACGTCTGCACAGCTAAAGAAGTTTCTCACTTCACTTTTCCTTTTAATCACTGGAACAGAGAAATTCCCATTCATGCAAATTAAGCGTGATTTTACGACGCATCATATTAGCTACGAGACATTAATCTGTGTTCTGTGTGGGTGGCGAGATTCAAAATAAGCTAGTCAGTGTTTCTTTATGTTACAGGAAAAAGTTTCTCAGTATGTTTGCAAAGCTCGGCGTTCGTGAGTCAGTTTAAATGGATCATTAATTTTCCTGTTGGGGGACATATTCAGAATCCAGCAGTGATAATGACCTATTATTATAATCGAAGGGTAATGAGTATGGAACAGTAAGGTTTTAACTGCAGTATAGATTGTCTTAGAGAACAAATTTAATTAGTCTACTGTACTGACTTGATACCTTTTGCCATTGAGAGCATTTTAATTTGCTGTAGCTGATTCACAGCAATATTTGAAGCACTGTTTAGAGCATAAACAGCTTGATTTTTATATTTTGATTTCTCTGATTTTACTTTTATGTGTGTGAAAAAACTCTGCCAAATCATATGTAGCACATGAAAGCAGTTTTAGACATGGTCAGGATGGTGTGCTGAAGTTCAAACTGGCATAATTTGGCATGGTTGTGGGTGCCACACAGGCTGGTTTGAGTGTCTCAGTATCTGTTGATCTACTGGGATGTCCCTACACAAACGTCTCTCAGGCACAGAGGCTGCTCTAAGATAAAATATCCATTGAGCTGTGGTTCTCTGGGTAAAAATGTCTTGTCAGAGGACAATGGCCAGACTACTTGAGCTGATAAAAGGGCAGCCTTAACTTGAAGAACCACTCGTTACAACCCAGGTGTACAGAAGAGCATCTCTGAATGCACAACACGTTGAACGTTGAGGCAGATGAGCTACAGCAACAGAAGAAGAGCACATCTGTGCCACTCCTGTCAGCTGAGAACAGTAAACCGAGGCTATAATTCACATGGGCTCACCAAAATTGGAAAGTAGAAGATTTGAGAAACATGCGTGTTATTTTGCATGTGGTCACACTGGATCTGTTTTCCTGTTGTTACTAAAGAATCTTGCCACGTAAATGTGGCAGGTTGTCTAAATCTGTGTCAACTTCTGCATGCGTGTACATTTCATGTTTTGGAGGGGCAAAGCATGAAATGGACACGGTGGATCGGCATGTATATTACACGCTTTGTCGTGATACTGGGCTAGCTAAATCACAGGCTGGTGCAGTAAAAAAAACAAAACTGGCACGCATCACAGTGACTGACAGCCCCAATCAGTCATTGTGGTTTGCTGACAGTGTGA